TTCTTTGTTATTCGTTCTCCTGATGATGCCGAGTGTTACTCGTCGAAAGCTTGAGATAGAATTACTGTGGATTTGAATAAAATCTAATCATGTACTTCGTAGCAGTATGGTACTATCTAATTCATTAGATATGTGAAAACATTGCACTTTTTCGGCTCGTTAAAAAAGGAAACCTGCTGCTTGCAGTGCATTTCTTTTCATTGAGAAGATTTATCTGACAAAATAGGTCACTATTTTGGAAAACACTTTGAAGTGCAATGAATTTTTTAGTGATTCTCCTGTTCAAATATCTTGCAAAGCAAAAAACTAATTTTTCGTCAAAATTAATCAAACTCACAAGGAAACCCCTTTTGAGCTGTGAATTCACTTTTCGAGTGAATATATTTTTCGATAAACTCTAAGAAATTATATATTAAAAACCGTTTAAAATTAAGAAGATTCTAAAATGATTTTTGATTTGTTGCAACTGTTACTATTGTACATAAATAGTTTTAAGTATACATTCGAGTTGTTTTATTCTTTGTATCTGTTTGGGTGAAGAATATCGAATGCGTAAAATAAATCAGAGTGTTGAGAATCTTCCACGATCATATGGCGATGGGGTAGATTATTTAATATTTAGTATCTATTTAATTTTTTTTCTTTTTGAAAATAATATGGCACAACTTAAAAACTTTTTGAGATACTATCAAGCAGAGATCCACATGCGGACTTGTATGCACCAGTGCAGAAACATCGTCCACAACAAGTACAATCGACTTGGGATCATTCTACATCACCTAATTCTTGGGTTTAACAGTAGTGTCCTCTATTTTGTAGTTTCGTGTGGGCGTGTTTTTCTTCTTAATGCAAAATGTTAGATTTTTTTGCATATTTTCAATTTTTTGTTCCATATGAAACGAGAATTGGCGACATTAGTATCAAAATATTAGCAATAACCGACTGTTTTTTTGTGCAATTTTCGTCTGTTTTATTTCAAAAACTATATTAGAACATTCATTCATTTGTTTTCGATTATCTATATGTCAGATTCCGAGTATTCATTGATCAATTAATACTTGCGAGTTATTTTCAGAAAAGAAACAAACTATTCTCTCATTCTTATTTGTCGTAAAATATTTTGTTGTTTTAAGGAAATACTCGTTTGCGTAAAACTAAACATATTATTTTCTTTTTCTATTTCAATATGGCCTATCTTAGGTTGTTGTTAGCTGTTCTTTTTTTTATAAGTATCTTTATGTATATGCGTGTTTCGCGTCTATGTCAGAATCATTTTTTGTTTTGACTGTTTTTCATATTTGGCACTATGACTAACAAGTCGTGATCGAATTTAAGATAGCATTGAGTGACAAGCGGAAAAAGACATGACTGTTCTCAGTAGTCTTCGTCTTTCAGTCAGCAGCAAAAAAACACCCTACAGATTTCAATTCCCAGATGACATCTTGCACTTTTCAAAATTACTATCAGCAAAAACTGGTCATTCCAGAAATAATTTTACAATTTGACGAATAGATGAGAATTTTGTAAATTTACGTTTACAAAATAAAAGTGGCTTTTTCTAGTAGAAAGTGATTCGATGAGAAGATCAAGCCACCAATGCCCTAACTATAGTGGTCAGGAAGTTCAGACTTTTAGTACTAAAAACTTCTGCGCGCACTCTGAAATGAATAAGAAATCTCAAAGATAAAATAAAATTAATATACAAAATATGAGCGTCAGACGTTCTCTGAGTTGACGTCATCTGTTTCATAAGAAAACTTTTCATTTGACGCATTCCACCAGTCAAAAAAAGAATTCTTTATTCCTTATCTTTGTTGAAATGTGAATAGAACAAAAACATCATTTTTTGTAATTTATTAAAAAACTTAGAAAAATGCGACTGCTACTTTTATTAGTACTAAAATCCACTCTCGTCATTTTACCATTTACAGCTGCTTTAACTCTAGGTATCTTTCTCGCAGCATGTAGTCCACGTCTCACACATCGTCCACATCATTTAGCACCAATTAGTGAATTGGGTGTAAATGCATTTGGATTATTTGTTACGGGGTTTACATTGACATCAATTCAAATGACAGTTATAATTGTTGCATGGTGGTCTCTGGTCAGACAACATTTACATCAAATATCCCAGACTTCAATTCTGAATCATTTGTCATTGATTTTGGGTTTGATAGCTGTTGTATTCTGTCTGTTGATGGCTTATACAGTTAATACTTCTGTCAAAGCACATATGACTGGAGCATTTGGAGTGTTTGGCTTGCTGGTCATCTATGAATTTCTTCAGTTTATACAGCTGATTCGACTGAGATCGAAACATTCGTTGTATCAAGACAGTTATACAATTTTTGCAATACTATGGATAGCACTTTGTGTTCTGTGTGGTGCCATATCAGCCGGTGTTTGGATTGGAACATTTAATTCAATACCGGAGTATTTAGCTGCTGGTTTTCCATTTGTGTTTTCATTTGCCTTTGCTAAATATTTTTGGATGGATGCTAGAAGAACAGCGAAGGAAAGACGAGAACGAGCAGAATTGCCGACTATTAGTTCTCTCGCTCATTTAACAAAATAAAAGATAAAACAGAACAATCTTACTTTTCATTAGAACCCTGGAAATATGAGTGAGTGTGAATGTGCTCTGTCAAACTGTTTCGGTTTTATTAATGAGAAAGATAAATACCTGGACATGTTAACTGACGAGATATATTCGCTATGTTTAGAACCGTAACGTGATTCCTTTTTATTTTTCTGACATTACTATACTTTGTTACAGATCGATAAATAATTAATTAATAATAACTTTTTTTGTTAATAATAACTATGCAGAGTTACAAGAATAAAACGAAGGCAAAAATATCTTTGTGATCCGAGAAAGAAACAAACTTGCTGCTAAATTTGTTAAAAGATGAAATGATATCGAATGAAATAGGAAGTCATCGGAATCATGGTGCCTGAAAAAAAGTACAAGAAGGTTTATTAGCAGTCGATGTCAACAAATCTATTGATTCGATTAACGAGTGTTACTGTATTCATGTTAACTTTGCCAACACAAACATGAGTTTTCTCCTACGCACTGGGTATTTATTATAATAGCTATCACCAGTTGAATCACGATTGTCTTTTTAATCGTGATTAGTGCGGTTACACACAATTCTTTTCATTGTGATTAAATATCGTTAATCACATTCCGAGATAATTTCGGTTACACTAGAAAATGCTTAATCGTGATTATAAAGTGATTATGTTTTAATCACGATTAAAGGTAATCGTGTTTATTTGCGTAGTGTAACCGTAGTGTTAGCATCAGCAGAGAAAAGTGAAAGATTTCTTTTATTTGCTATATATGGTTCACGCACAAAAAATAAAACAAAAAGTTAAAAAGAAATATCAGTGGAAACAACAACAAAAAAGGAATATTATCACAGTTCTCTACAATGATTTTAAGATGCACTTGCACCGACAAAAGGAACTGATACGTGACAAAATCAACCAAGCAGTTGTTGCTGATAAAATCACTAGTTTGTCTACCAGTTCAGTGACCCTGTTCACTAATTACCAAATTTCCTAAGAACAGTGAAGCGCTTTCTCTCAGTGGGCAGGCTTCACATTTTCTGTTTCTTTTCAACTGAGATAGTAATAGTTTGCACGCGTACAACCAGGTAGAAAGTAGACGAATCTTGGTAGCAACTGCCCAAGCCTCATTGCTGCAAACTTGTCCATCAAAAAATTCATCTTGTACTTGTTAACATTCACAGCAAGTTTCGAAAGATCAAAAACATATAAGAGCCGTTGCACGGTAGGCACGACCTAAGCTACTCACCTGATGTTCAGTTTTCCCGAGTAAACTCTGACAGTAGATAGCGGCAACACATTTAGGAAGATTCCCAAAATGTTTTGACTGCATTATATCTGTTCAGGGGTAGAAGTTTTAAAATTGATAAAATAGCAACAGCAGCTGTTTTTAGATTCATGTTTATTTAATAAAAAGTAAAATTAAACTTTTTTATAAAAATAAAGTCGTCAAAAACGTCGACTTTATTTTTATAAAAAAGTTTACTTTTAAAAAAAATTTTAATTTTACTTTTTATTAAATAAACATGAATCTAAAAACAGCTGCTGTTACTGTTTTATCAATGTTTTGACTAGATAATAGTTCCTTTTGGACTTATAGCATTTTTCGTAAAAGCCCTAAAAACTGCTAAAAACAGCATGTGTAGAAAACTGCATTTTGCAGCCGTTATATTTCTGTCTACGCAGCAGAGCTAGAGCTCGTGCTTGCAGCATAAGTAGTATAGGTCGAATACTACCTGTACCCAAAAACATATGTGGATTCGGTCTTCGCACATGTGCGAAATCGTACCTGCAACATTGGAAAATATTGATAATGGTCGCACTTTTTGACTAAATTCTTCTATGAAAAGTTAAAGTATTTGAGTAAACACGAGTTTCACTGCACAGAACACATGTTGCTCTACTCAAATTTATAGCTTTGATCTGAAAAAGGTAGTTCACTAGGGATGCAGGCCATTTCTAAGTTCAGAGAAAGTGAAAATGAAGCATTTTAAAAATTAAACTTTTATGTCCGAAGGCACTTGTTATATAATCGACATAGTCAGTATACTACACTACTTGGACTATCTGGCACTAACTTGCGTTTTGGAGCACATTCATAGATGGATTATCGGGAGCGGCTGAAAGAACCCCAAAAATGACGAAAAACGAAAATTTCAAAATTTAATCTTGTAGATGCTATTATGCTCAAATGAAACTTCGAGACTCGGAAAGTTCAAATATACATGTGTCGATGTCATCCGGTACATGTGCGAGCATATGTCGTGGAAAAGTGCCTGTTTGAGTCGGAAGAAAATATAAAAGGATGGGTAGCTTGCATTATACAGGTTTTTTGCAACACAATGCAAGAACCGAGTGAAAACCCATACTATGTGAAATAACCCATTTTATTATGTATTATTAATACATTAGCAAGATTTTTTTTAGCAAGATATTTAAGAGATTAGTTTTCGATTGTTTACTTCTCAATCTTGAAAAAACAATCTTTTCAAAAAACAGCAATTTGGCTTTCGCGCAAATTCATCCACTGTCGATACACTCAATTTTCTCGCCAATCGCCTTTTGTGGATAAAAAAAGTTTAAGAAAAATGGCTACATTTGGCTTTATGAAAGCCTTTGATAGAGTTCTTCATTAACTTCTGTTTTCAAAATTAAATGCGACAGGTGTCGACGAGAAACTTTTCGGCTGGTTTGGTTCATATCTTAATGAGCGAACTCAATGGGTAAAAATTAACAACCTCCTTTTCCGAGCGATATTAGTAACATCTGGCGTTCTACAAGGATCGAATTTGCGTCCTTTGCTCTTTTCGATATTCATAAATGGCATTGCTGAATGCCTAAAACCCACTACCGTATAATCTCTTTTTACCGATGATCTCTTTTGTGCCGTATCTCTGCCACCTGATAATAGTTTGGATTCCTTCCGAGCCAAAGTAACTAGCATTCACACTTGGTGTAAAAAAATGATATAAATTAGAACCCGATTCGTCATTGGCTTCCCTAGTTTTCGACAGGGTAAAAAAAGAGGGGGGGTGTACCCTTAAAACGAACCCAATCATTGGTCGTCAAATCTCGTTTGCCTTTCGATTACTTTCGATATTTTAGTCCAAACCTTCGACGTACTTCAGGCTAGTTTCTTCATCCCCTAACTATCTTCAATCACTCTAACCACCTCTGCGTAAAGGACTTTAAAATAAACAAAAATTTTATGTCTCTGTTTCTCAAAAAATACAGAACAGATCAATTTTAGTATGGAGCCAAAATTATTATTATATTTGAGCTAGTAGACATGATTATCCACGCACAATAAATTTGTTTCAAGAAATTTGCTAAATGTTTTTTCGAATGATCTTTGAGTGAAAAATTCATCAATTTTGTTACAGCATTCAATGCAGTGATTAAATATCGTTTGCTTTATTAAGCTTATGAATTGGATAGAACTCCTGGAAGCCACATTAGTATTGGACTCGTAGAATACGGTGAATATAAAATATTTAGATACGTTTTGATGCAAGATACTAAAAAACAGCTTTGTGAATATACGGTTGAACGTTGTCATAATGACTTTTGATGTTTGAAACACTATCTGATGATCTTTGCTGTTTCACTCCCTTGATAAGTAGTTTTAGGGTAATTTTTGATGTAATATTAGCGATTAGAAATTTGCTCTCTTTCCATATTTGTCTATTTTTTAAGAGTATTTGGTTAGTTAGTTTGAGAAAAAGACATGAAACATTGTTGTGAAGCTAACTTGTTGCGTCAAACTGTAGTCAGTAGAGATTCGTCTCTTGCAATCCTTCTAATTCGAGGAACTGAAGTCCGTTTATGTGTGTCAAATCTAGAACGTGTGACCTACTACCACTTGATGTATTCGCTATATTTCTTTAGTCAACCATGTCCAAGAAAATTAACCAATAAAAATAGTTCTTAATCGTTGTATGCAGGGCAACCACCAAAATACTCAATTTTTTAATCAAAGATGATTCGAAAAATACTTTCAGCAAATGTCTTGAAACAAATTTATTGTGCGTGGATAATCATGTCTACTAGCTCAAATACTTACTGAAGTGAAAACTTAATTACCTCTAGTCTGTGGGGTTTTACCCGTAAATCTCGTTACTATTGGTATGCCCTAAGTATTAAGCCGTGATATTTATTTTTTAATGTCATCACTATTATAGTATTAGTTCTAAAACATTCCACTATTATACACTTATCGTTAGCAAGAATTATTTATAGGAGACGATAGTTATGTACTGACAAAAACAAAGGAAGAAAAAAGAGAAGAAAGAAAAAAACTCGAATCAAAATGTTAAAATCATAAAGCAGCTGATAATATAGTAAATATGTTATGAATGTAATTTTTTGTCTATGACTTTGTATTACAAGTAAAAATGTATATCCACACAGACATACACCTGAAAGTAAAACGGAAAGAGAACGAGAAAAAAATACAATCAGATGAAAGACAATATTTCAATTAAATCATATTTTTCTTTCATTCTCTTCTCTCTCTCTCTCTCTGCATGAGTTTTTAAGAATTCCAATCTATAAATAATATTTCGATACAAATACAACACAAACTTCAACCTAAGCTACTTCGATGTTTAAAATACAATTTAACAGATAGACAAACCCATATCTACTTATATAAATGTGATTAAAACATATTAAAATGTGAGATTATTGTTTTATTCGAAAATCAAAAAGGTTAGAAAGCATGTAATATTTCACGTTTATCATCGTTAAACCAATAAGTCCGTCAGTGTTAGTATATTTAATTAGTTAATTAAACAATAACAAGACTTACTTGAAAACATTGTGCTGGGTGAGTTGTTTTTATCTCTCTTTTGTAATGCTGGGAATGTTTCGGCTGTTCACTAAACTTTATGCTGTGCTGGTTAGAGGTCTACGAGATGGTCCCAGTCCCGGTCCCGCAGGACTTTTTACGAGACCGAGACCCACAAAAATCTTTTTCATGGGATCAGGATCGGCAGGGATCTAGAGGTCTGCTGGACGGTCTCAGTCTTGCGAGATGGTCATGGTCCCGTAGGACTTTTAATGCGACCGGGATCAGGTATTTTTGAAAATAGTCTTGTATGGAGGATAAAAATTTCTTAGTTTTTGTGCTTGTTTGTATGTAGGCACTAGTTCTTCGAGAAAGAACTTATAAATAAAAAATTCGAAGTCTTCAATTATTACCACCCACGCATGGTGTTTCACGAGCCACATCAAAATACGCTGACTTTCAAACTATCCGCACTACTTTAAAAAAATATTTACGAGACCACCGGACCGGGAGCAAAAACGAGTTCTTTCTATGGAACCGGGACCAAGATTTTTTTTCTTCATGAGACCGGGACCAAAAACGTTTGGTCCCGCAAGCTTCTAGTGCTCGTTGCGTGTCGAACTACTGCGCATTTAAAACTATTTAATAGAAAAACAGTTGAAATGAAGTTGAATAAAACTAAGAAAATAGAAATGACATTTAGTCGATATATTTTCATGTTCAATAAGAGTGTGATATTTTTTGCATTGTAACAAACATGACTCTGGCTTCTCATTAAAAAAAAGGCCTCAGCAGATCTTCTATGTTAAGGCAATAACTCTATATGTAGATATATATATATATAATATAAAAGAAAATTGTAAAAGTGCATGATTAAAAGATGTAATAAGGCACGAAAGAGAGAATAACAGTAACAACAGAACTACGAAGGAATTAGTTCCATCATCATCATCATCATCATCATCGCGAGAGAAATGAGAAGGAAAAAACTTAGTCTTTCTTTTTGATTAGATGTTTTTCTACACTATTTTTTACTGTTGTTGTTGAGAGAAAGATTAGAATGTTTTGATGAAAATTTCACATACACGTTTTGCATCTAAGTGTATTTATAATAATCGTATTTTTTACTTTTCATCTTACATTATGATGTTAAATGGTGAATGGTTTAGTAGTTTTATAGACAGATAACAACATATAGTTAGACAAAATACTTGAAATAGTGACGGATTCAGAATTTTTCTTTGGTATGTGCGTTAATACTATAAAAGTGTAAGATATGTGCAGTCGTCATAGACACAAATTATTCGAAGACCGTTCTACCACGAAAAAACTAAAAAAGTAATTTCTTTAAAATGTACATGTGGTTACACATATTGCACGGTGATTGGATCCGCCACTAACGTGACGTATTCTTCTTCATTATCTATAGTCTGGTTAATATACCTTCTAGATATTAATTCAAATAAATTACAACGGTAGTGTATGAATTTTTCATCAACTTTCTACCTCTTGTACCGTTATGATAGCATTTTTCTAAGTCATTTTTCACGATATTGTTAATTTGTCCATTAATATCTTTTATATAACTATCGAAAAATTTGTCTAATTAATAATATTTATTCATCTCTTTTTGGTATAGAATGTATGCATATCAACAATGTTAAAAAATTACAATATTTGAACATGTAGTTGGACCAAATTTCCATTAACTAACAGAAACACTACTTTTAGATCTTGTGAATGGCTACCATTACAAGATTTATATCTGTTAAAAACATCATTATACTAAGTAATGAATTGAATATTTTTAAATTTGTTCTTCTACGGAAGTGAAGCCGCTTGAATAGTTTTATTCGCTCTAATGAAAGTGTTTTATTTTATTTGAAAAGAAATAATGTGATGATTTAGCGGAAGAATGAGCAAGTGTCATGTGATTTTTATTTTTAACTCAATTTTTTCAAAAATTGATGAGCAAAAATGATGAGAAAATTGTAAAAAATTACAATAACTTGTTCAGTAATTTGATAAGCTATATAATACGTATGCATTTAAGACACCTATAATAGACACATATTTTTTTCATTAAGTGTAACGATACATTTGTATATAAAAATCTTTATTAATCAGATGTCACTATCAATTAATCTTATTAACTGTTTATACTGTATTTTATACAATTATATTAGTATGTCGTTTGCCAGACGATTAAGAACATATCAGATGTAATTTAGTCTCTACTGTCAAGAGACTATTTTATATCCCGCTTCACTTATTCGCATTGTTCTTTTAGGAAGTGAATTAGAAATTAATATTGTTAAATAGATCGAAGAAACAGTTTAGGTTTAGTTTTATCAACATTCATCACGTATTCACCGACATAAGTCACATTAGTTAACATTAGAAGATTAAAAAAAAAGAACAGTAAATCCGTTTCATAGAGTCATTTTTTACCACTACTTTACATATCTGATAAAAAGATTATATATACATGCGTTTCGGAATCAATATTAATGGTAAATTTATTAGAATTTCGTATACAAAAAGGCTCACCGTACTACTGCATCTTAGACAAAATATTAATCAAACTAGCACATAATTAGCTGAATATCCATAATGTAGAATTGTGAAAATTGTAAAATATGTTTACTGGACCATAAAGCTTTCTTCTTTGTTTTACTGACAGTAGTATGATGGTAGTATTATTCTCATCGTTTTCTTCTCTCCTCTTTACATAAACACATTCTCAATCAAATGTGTAATGTCCGCAAAAAAGCTCTTAATATTTTCTAATACGTACAAGAAATTCTTGCCAGAAGTTTGACAACGACATATATTAAAGACCATAAAGCATATACATAAAAGAAAGTGAAAGAAAAAAAAGAAGAAAAATGAAAATAGGGAAGGAAATAGTAACTAAACACATATACATATATAATTGTATAATATATACCGTATGGTCTTTTCTTTCAACAATTATGATTAAGATTTTTCTATCTCATTAGATATGATCATGACCAAATATGTAGATATTCTTCAAGTGTTATTATTATTTTCACTAGGATCGTTTGCAATTCAAGATGGTAGGGGTAATTTAGTAAATTTTTAATATCAATTTATGTCAATTGTTTATATGTTTTTCTATGTTTTAGTTCAATCTTTGACAGAACAATGCAATGTAAGTCTCTTACTGGTGCAATTCTAACTCTATACTCTTAAATCACATTTTGTACAAAAACAGTCTACAAGATAAATGAAATGATACAAAAAGTTCTTTATCGAACAAAAATCCTTGAAAATATCGTTAATCGCAATTTTGAGTTGAAAAGATGTATGGTTGTAATCTGACATGCACACGATGTAATCGGTAACACGATTTTCGTCTAGCTAATTTTTTAAGAGAAAATTATAAAAAGTTTTGTAATACAAAAAAAAGATAATTTTATCACTTTAAACTTTATGGGATTTCTTCTTAACACAGGTTTTATCTGTTATTTTAGAATTTAAAATGTGATAGTGCTACGGAATATTGTACGGTAAAACCCAACTGTCATGAAGATAAATCGGCCTGTATTTATTGTAAAAAACGAATTAGTGTTACTGAACAGTACCCATTTCGTAAACCGACAGGTGACTTGAGTTCATCAACCAAACAAGAAGAACCATTAACAATTGTAAATAGTCTATTAGCTAAAAGCAATACAAAACTTCACAATGATAATCAAAATTCAATTTTATCACCGGACATATTATCACCTACGACAAAAACAACAACGAAAGGATTACAAGAATATGAAGATGAATATTCGGCATATAATGATAAAGAAGATTATGAGATTGGAGAAGAATATGATTATATTGATGCCTATGACGATGAAGAAATAGGTTTGTATTTTTAAGAGCAGTGACAAGATGTTACTCATCAATCGAATTTTTAAAATTTTAGATTTAGATAAAAATTTACCAGTGAAAAAGACAGGTGTATGTCCAAATGTTGATAAAGCAATGAAAATAAATGATATACACAGTTGTAATTCATCTACTGAATGTCGTTTTGATACGGATTGTCCAACGAATTTGAAATGTTGTGAAAATAATTGTGGTACAAAAAGTTGTTTCGTACCAACAACAAGTAGGTGATAGTGATGTCATGACATGCTAATAACATTTCTTGGTGAGACAGGGATCCCTAATAGTTTCACTTGTGTTAGAACACTTCATCAGGATAATATATTGAGAACATGTAGCCAAAATATTTGATTACAATTTTCCATTCTTTCAATTTAGCTAAAACTGGTCCAATTTGTTCTCAATTGCTTAGTTGTTCGCTGATTTGCCAACTTGGCTATCAAACAGATCAAAACGAATGTTTAATCTGTGAATGTCGATCGTGTCCATCGATGATCGGATGCAATAAAAATTGTCCACAAGGTTATCTGAAAGATATATTTGGTTGCAGTATATGTGAATGTTCAGATCAATGTTCTAATTTTGTGTGCAATTTGGATTGTCCAAATGGTGGTTTTGAACAATCAGACATCGGTTGTCCGCTATGTCGATGTAGTCAAAAAGATTATACACGTTGCAACGTACGTATTATTATTTTCTATATTCTTGTAATCCTTTCGTTAGCTTTTAATCGTTTTATTGTATTTTCTTTAAGCAAGATGTTCATTGTTCACCAGGTTTTCAATGTGTAAATGAAAGAAGTCCACAATGTATTGCTGTTAACGGTTCTGAATGTCCAATTATACAAATTTGTAAAGCAAGTAAGTGATTCTTAAATCATTAAAAGCTACAGAACTATAGTTAATCGATGCAATTTTCAAAATGGTTTTGAGAATAATGCTTTTTATTTCTTCAAATCTCCCTATTTCAAAATATACAGATAACTTTTCTAAGAATTAAATTTTGTTCCGTCATTCTCCGTTATTTTATCACATCTCTTCTTTCGGCTGTTTCTACGTAAAACTCCTTCCCAGAATAGAAGACCAGATGGTCTTCTATTTTATCTGATAGATTGAATTCTAACGAGTGATCTTCTATTGTCATAATTTTTTAACGTCAAAAAATGCTTCTTAAACTAATGCCAGTATTATTGGAGCATTTTATCAATACCGTACTGTTTTCGTTGTCTCTCTTGAAGAAAATAAATATGCTCCAACAGCATTCCGAGAAAGTTTTATGTACGTGAAAATAATTCTTTTCATCTGAATTCTATTTGATTAAAATCCTAAGACTAATCGCTATAGAAAATTAACTAAATGGACGCAGAGGTAAAAATTAGATTGTAAACGACACAAATTTATTAAGCTATTGTTCAAAAGCAGAATTTGTCTAATTTTTTTTGGATTCGGTTCTTTATTTAAAAAAGTTTCTATCAAGACTGCTTTTTATCCGAGATAAAAGATCATGATCTTCTGTTTGATTTTCACGTTGCATAATTGACAATAATCTTCTAATACGAAGAGATGATCTTCTATTATAGGAGAGGGATTATTCCCATGTATGTCTTTTTCTCTTACAAAAACAATTCCAGAAATTGTGTATTATTTATTTATTGAATGTACCAGAATATATTTTGTTTTTGTTTGCTGTTCCATATGTAAAACTTATGTATAGAACGATTTTCCACCACAGTAATGTGAGAAAATTGAAGGTAGAGATAGGATAGAATTTAATAAAAGTATACCATTTGGAAAGTGTTGTGCAAGATGGTTGACTACGTAGTCGTAAAAGCTCAAAATATAAATCTCTAAATGATTGTCACCACAGCCGTTTCTCTTCTTCTTTTCAAATCAGACCTCGAAACTATTCATAAAAAGGAAATTGTTGTTTCTATATTCTTTACAATTTTTCTACACCATTTGTTATGTTTATAATTTTGTATTTAATGTTTTATTTAAGCATAGATATATGCGATACAATGACGAAATAAGTTTATATTTTGTTTAAATGTTTATGCTCTGTCGATTTATCTAACAAATCAAATTTTCCTTCTAAACGATCTAGCGATGATTGTGTTATCTGGAGCGAAAGAAAAAACGTTTCTCTAAAAACATTATTGAATTATATTAGTAGAATGTGCCAAGGTTGTGATAGATCTTTTGGCAAAGTTCTCAAACGATAATCTATTACCAGTCATTGCAGATAAAACAAAAGCATTATTAGTTCATGAGGCAGTTGCGCCGACTTATCCAGAATTAGAAATATTAAGGGAAAATGTATCGTGTATACTAAACTCATATAATAAGGAATAGAAATTAAAAAAGAAAACTAGAATGAGGTGATTATATTGCCGAGAGAATAAGAAAGATTAGATACGTATATAATGTGCTAATTGGGATGATGTAACAACGCAAGTAGTGAGTCGTGAGTCATCATCGCGAGGCTATCTGTTCAATTATTGGATAAAAATTCAGTAAACATATCGAATGATCACAAGAAGCTATTCAATTCCAAATAACTTGGTTAGAGAAAACACTTTCAACTACTCCATAGAAGTTTGTAAAAATTCGATCGATTGTCAGAACGAGCGAAACAAACACGCACAAAAATGATGTTATAGAATATTTTTCTGTATATCAGCAATAGTATGAGTGTTTTAAACATTTTTCCACTTCTTTCTTTCATAATTTGTTCACAAATTTTTCTTCCTTGATAATTACAATATGGAAGAAAAAAAAGAAGAGATTGCAACTATGAAGTAGTAATATGTATTATCTGATCTTGTAAGCTGTTTTGTTTTACTCTTTTTCTTTTATCTACAGATTTAGAAACTTCTATTCAAGAATTATTATTATCTGTTAACCATTGATGAGACAATAAAATTTTGTTATATTATAAGAAAACTAACGAAAGAAGTATTTGTAAACAAAATTATCAATAAAATTGTTCTCCATATACAGCAATTAGCGTTAATCCTTTTTCTTTTTTGAAAGAATTCACATCTTTTTCAAAATTATATAGTATACATCTTCCTCTTCTGTACCGCAACAATATTCAATAAACAACACATGTTATCTTTGAAAATGGCACTATTAATTGGACAGGAAATGTAAAAAATAAGTTCTTTTTCAACATGGAAAAAAATTTTTTTTTTTTTTTTGTCAGACTTATTATATAGTTTACATTATTGTAGCTAGAAGAATATAGTGTGCGAACAAACGTTCGGAGGAATTAAGAAGAAGAAAATGCGTCATATAACCAATGTATGTGAAATAGACATAAAAAATGTTAGTACAAAAGAAATAGTATTGAAAGAAAATAAAAACTTACGCCATAATCGTTTCAAATGTTCAGTGCTGACGAGTTTACCTCTGCGATATACGTCACTTTTTCAGTATATAAAAAAAGACGGAAAAAAACTCGCTATAGCTTTATGTTTCTTCTTCTTTTGTACTATATTTGATGTGCGTTTAATATTAGGCATATGTCATCATATGCAGTTAAGTGATCAATCATCAAACGTTAGATGTCTATTATCTACTGAATAAACGAAGTAACATTTTCTTTGTTTCCGTTTTCTTTTTGTTCGTAGAAATTTCGCACATCTTCATTTGATTGATCCTTTAAAAAAATAAAATATGTTTTATATGTCATCTCTATAATCCTGTTTCAAACTGATATTTAGAGAAAAAAAGATGTTTAAAATAATGAACATACTCTTGTTATGTGTAATACAATTATTTCATTTAACAGCGACCGATCGAACAGGTAATTAATTAGTAATCTTTAATTTGACTTAATTGATATTCGTTTGAACTAGTGATCAAGAAAGCAGCTGGTCGCAAAGAGTACGGTATAAATTCCAATGTCTAATTTTTAATAGATAAAAGGGAAAAATCCTACTTCATTTTTTAAAACATATTCCATATGTTCGAACATGCAATTTGTAGCTTATTCAGCGGTAAAGACATCATCGAAGATGATCAAAAGTGCTTAATTGTTTCGCGGTTTGGTAGGAGAGAGATATTCCGTGTGTAATGGAGAAATGTCGTCAGTTGAAATTTTCTAATACTATAGCCTGTGGTTTTATACATCACAAACTATGCTATTATAAGAAATAGACAAGAAAGAATCAAATATTCGTCCTTCGTTTAAACGTATAGCTTTTGAATTCTACGTTTCAGTACTGTTTATATTGATTTTTTGTTTCTATTCTAGTTCCTGCTGTTCCAGATACTTTATTACCAAAGTTATCAGAACTACGACCAAACAACAACACTAACAAAGATAATGATGGTAAATGTTTAAAAATCCAATGTCATATGTTTTGTCAATATGGATTTAAAAAAAATGAATATGGCTGTGATATTTGTTTATGTAACGATGTATCACCGTTACCTCAACAATGTCCAATTATCAATTGTAATACACAGTGTTCAAATGGTTTTAAAAAAGATTCAAACGGTTAGTTTTTTAAAAGTACTTTGGTGCTGCTGTAGGGTTTAAAGTTGATAGATAATATAATATGAGTGATCAGAAAAACACTATATAGTTCATTATTTAATGTTTCGTTCTTATTATGTATCTTTTTTGTATAATCATCTTTTTTTCTAGGCTGTGTGACATGTACGTGTAACGATCAAGAAACAGGCATTGTGACACTTGATAGTAATTGCATCCCGTTACAATGTAGTCAAGTTTGCAAATATGGTTTTGAACGTGATGAATTTGGATGTCAGTTATGTTCATGTAACAAGTGTCCATTGCATACTTGTCGAATGTTCTGTCTGTATGGTTTTCAGAAAGATGAAGATGGTTGTGATAAGTGTGAGTGTGATTCAACACCAATTGAAAATCAAATTACATGTAGTGATGTAAGGCACTGGTAGCTTTGATGTATATCCGAGAAAGTCATAGATTATTTCTATTTTTAGAAAGAACCTTGTAAAGAAGGTTATGTTTGTAATCTGGATATTTTAACATGTGAAGCAGTACCAAGAGAGAAAATAAATTATTTTATGTTCTATTTTGACATAGATAAATCCTTTTTTGACGATCAAGCGTTCTTAGATACATATAAAAAGTGAATAACCTTTCTGTTATATGTTCACTCTTATTCTTTATGTCTATTATGTCTTTTAGTGATTTTATTCAAAATCTCGCTTCAACATATGGTCTGTTACCTGCTCAAATTTTTGTCTTCCCTGTAAGTTAAATGCAACATAGATTGTTGATTTTCTTGAAAAATTCCGCCTAGTTTAGATACAACCAAAGAGATTGACAAATTTTCAAATTATGCCTTTTTTCCGAGAAGATAAAGATGATTTTCAAAGAAAAATGGATCAAATTGATGCTGATGTAAGTGGTATACGCGCAAGAGAAAGTAGAAAGTTTTTGTAATCATCACTTTTTATCATTTCAGATAGACAATGACGAATTTCGACGTGTTTTACCATCGGTTACATCAGTTATCCGTAATAAATGGAAACAACCAGTTATTAGTGATAAATCATTAAGGCAACGAAATCGTCTAATACTCATTTTGATCGGAGCTCTAGTGGTTTTATTGTCGCTGATAATCGCTACAGTATTTTTCATTGTAAGTAAAAGTCTAATTACAAACTATACATTGTTTAATGTAGTCATTGACTCTATTTTTAGTTATTTCGACGCCGCTTTCGACGTCCTGGTCGATCACAGGTAAAAACTAAGATTGACATAACGACATTATCCTTCCTTCCTAATGAAATATCAATGTTTTTTTCAATTTTAGTCAAAATGTCCAATATTTGGGGCATATGAAGTAGCTGCAAGCGATGATGATCAATTTACGGTTCATGCACCAGATGGCACTCCGTATGTCGTTGTCGAAAGTGAAGATATTCAAGTACCATCTGATAAGCGTGCACTTGTCTAAAAGAATATTTTAGCGTTCGTTCGGATCTAAAAATATATACACTTTAATACGCCAGTTATCGAATAAAATTTTTACTCAAATACAAATAATTCTTATTCTTATATTGTACATAGTTTTAGAAAACGTATATTCGAATTCTGATATATTTTTTTACAGTTTTTGTCTTAGTTTCTGTTTTTATAATAATGCATCACAATTGTTTGATTTCGCTGTATTGTTGTTGTTGTCGCCGTTATCGTTATTATTATATTTACCATTTTGACTTTTCTACACAATATTTCTCTTTAAAGTCGTATTTTCAAAGAGCTGAATCTCTTTGACAGTTGCTATTCAGTTTTTTTCTACAAGTTGATTTATTCTGTAGTATTTGTTTCTTGTTCTCTATCAATCTGAAATATTTCTTTCTATTTTTTGTACTCACTCGTATCATTAACAGAATGCCGCACATCATGCAGAAAAGTTTTTTTTTCTTGCCTTCCCAAGTATTCATATACCGTGGCCGAGACTATTTTATCTTTCGTAAAATACATTTTTTACTTTGATGTATATGTTGTTTCATCACCATATACTTTTTTTCCATATAAGTCAAAATAAAACTGTTTTTAATGTCGATAGGATCAGATACACGAAACGCAGTTTGTTCTTGAACACTCCTTCATAGTATGTACCAGAGCCCGAAACGAATTAGGAAATCCTGCATCGGGTCGATTCGGGACAACATTTCCAGATGCTGAATCGGTTCGATTCGGTTCGTGTTAGTTCAATGAAAACTAAAGCTTGCTTCTCTTTTGTTTCCAAACATTTATTTAAAATATACCGCCTTGAGTTGGAATACTTGAGCATAGGATAGGGATGCACCAAACCTAAAATCATTAATTAATAAGACTTTCGTTAGATTTGATAACAAACTCCAAATCCGAAATCTTTCATCAAACACAATTATTTGGGCTTGGTGCGTCCCTACTTGAGCAGAACATATCATTTATGTGACTACCCTAGACAAATTTTTTTTGAAATTTCTGATAAGAATCTTATCAGATTCTTATATAAGAAGTGGCACGAAAGTTGCACGAATTTCTTAAGAATCAGATAAGAATCTTATAAGAATTTCATAAGAAAGTGATAAGAATCCTTTACCAGATTGTTACAAGTTTTTTTGCAAGAATTATTCTGTATTCATTTCGTTTCAGTAAGATTTCATAAAAATAACTTTCTCTTCATAGATTTTCCTTAAGCCAAAGAATTTTAACAACGTAATTTCATGTCTAGAATCTACTATGATAAACTTAAAATTTCGACG